CCCAACACTGACCAGGGGGATGGTGTGGCCCCCCAACACTGACCAGGGTGATGGTGTGGCCCCCAACACTGACCAGGTGATGGTGTGGCCCCCAACACTGACCAGGGTGATGGTGTGGCCCCCAACACTGACCAGGGGGATGGTGTGGCCCCCAACACTGACCAGGTGATGGTGTGGCCCCCAACACTGACCAGGTGATGACTGTACGAGCCGACTGGCCAGCAGGGGTGATGAACCCCCACAGTCGCTACTGATTGTCTCATTGATTCATCACGTTAATGTGATTTGCTTATGTAGTGACTTTACTAGATTCATCAGCCTTGCCATACCATATCCCTGGCGACCCAGCGCGGCCAGGTTCACAGCTTATTCCTATTGTTTCCCCTCTAATTATTAACGACTATTAGCTTGATTAACGACTTGCCGGAGCATCCCGCGGTACGAGGCTGCACCTCCACCCTTCAGCCTCTTCATTGGGCACCACTCACGAATTTCCTCCCACAGTAAACCCGCCGCAAGCAACAGCCTTTCGGATCAAGTTTTCAAAAGTCGAGCCTTACCGTAGACCGAACTTGAGGGGGGGTAGAAGAATTATCAGAATCCACTGAAGGTGGACTACAGGCTAGGTCGAAGATACCCATTGGGATTGGTCCCTGGCCTATTGCGTTAGTTGATAGATTTGGTATCCTCTGGAGGTGTTTTATCAAGTTCTGTTTTGAACACTGAGAGGTCGAGCAGTCATCACTCTATGTGTAGAGGGAGAGTGTTTTTTTTTTTCCAGGTATATTCCTGCGCGGACCCTAAGCCTCTGGCTGGCCCACTGCGCGGGCCCTAAGCCTCTGGCTGGCCCACTGCGCGGGCCCTAAGCCTCTGGCTGGCCCACTGCGCGGGCCCTAAGCCTCTGGCTGGCCCACTGCGCGGGCCCTAAGCCTCTGGCTGGCCCACTGGGCGGGCCCCTAAGCCTCTGGCTGGCCCACTGGGCGGGCCCCTAAGCCTCTGGCTGGCCCACTGGGCGGGCCCCTAAGCCTCTGGCTGGCCCACTGGGCGGGCCCCTAAGCCTCTGGCTGGCCCACTGGGCGGGCCCTAAGCCTCTGGCTGGCCCACTGGGCGGGCCCTAAGCCTCTGGCTGGCCCACTGGGCGGGCCCTAAGCCTCTGGCTGGCCCACTGGGCGGGCCCTAAGCCTCTGGCTGGCCCACTGGGCGGGCCCTAAGCCTCTGGCTGGCCCACTAAGTGTTGCTTGTTTCTGTTTTACTTGGGCGGAGTATGAGTATTTATGACTCGTATGGTCGCTTCAGTAAGATTTTGTCCCATGTGTTTAACAACTTCTTCTGCTCTGTTGAATCTAAGTTGAAATCTTAATGGGTTTGTAACTGTGCACTGTGTTAGATAATGTTCCAGTGGTCTGTCGTGGTTGTAACTGTGCACTGTGTTAGATAATGTTCCAGTGGTCTGTCGGGCATTTCTCCACAGTGCTGACATTTCCTCTCATCTTCCGGAACCTGTAAGCCTATTGGGAGAGTGTTGACCAGTCTTGGGTCCTTGATACTGATGGAATTGTCTCTCAGCGAATATATTGCATCTCAACTTTTCAAAGGGATATTTTGCACTTCCTGCCGTGCCTCCTGGTTTCATAAGTTTTCCCGTGAACAGATTTGAAGTCAGTTCCTCTAATATTTTCTAAGTGTTATTAAGTATCTCTCCTGCCTGCGCTCTGGAGAATGTGTATGTATAAATTTTAAGCGCTCTTAATACTTTATATTTTATTGAATGGATTTGGGCAGTTAAAGACCTCTGTATGTCTTCTGCATCCGCAATTTTTCTGCATTGAATTAAGTGTGTTATTACGGAACAGGGTTCCACTCTAGAGAGCACTAGTCTCTTGAAAAGTATCATCATCGGTATAGCATCTCTTGTGTGAAAGGGTCTTGTTATCCAGCCTGTCATTTTTCTTGCAGTTGTGACGGCTACTTTGTTGTGTTCTTTAAAGATAAGATCTTCCGACAAGATTACTCCGAAATAATTAATGCTCTTTCGTTCTGTGGTGTGATTTGACTGTGGTTTGAACCGTATGTGGTTTCAGTTTTGATATTATCGTTTTTTCCGTAGCGCAAGAGCTGAAACTTATTATAATGTGAGGGGTGATGCTGGGGAGCATAATGTGAGGGGTGATGCTGGGGGGCATAATGTGAGGGGTGATGCTGGGGGGGCATAACGTGAGGGGTGATGCTGGGGGGCATAATGTGAGGGGTGATGCTGGGGGGGCATAACGTGAGGGGTGATGCTGGGGGGCATAACGTGAGGGGTGATGCTGGGGAGCATAATGTGAGGGGTGATGCTGGGGGGCATAATGTGAGGGGTGATGCTGGGGGGCATAATGTGAGGGGTGATGCTGGGGGGCATAATGTGAGGGGGTGATGCTGGGGGGGCATAATGTGAGGGGTGATGCTGGGGGGCATAATGTGAGGGGGTGATGCTGGGGGGCATAATGTGAGGGGTGATGCTGGGGGGCATAATGTGAGGGGTGATGCTGGTGGGCATAATGTGAGGGGGTGATGCTGGGGGGGCATAATGTGAGGGGTAATGCTGGGGGGCATAACGTGAGGGGTGATGCTGGGGGCATAATGTGAGGGGCATAATGTGAGGGGTGATGCTGGGGGGCATAATGTGAGGGGTGATGCTGGGGGGGAATAATGTGAGGGGTGATGCTGGGGGGCATAATGTGAGGGGTGATGCTGGGGGCATAATGTGAGGGTGATGCTGGGGGGCATAATGTGAGGGGTGATGCTGGGGGGCATAATGTGAGGGGTGATCCTGGGGGGCATAATGTGAGGGGTGATGCTGGGGGGGCATAATGTGAGGGGTGATGCTGGGGGCATAATGTGAGGGGTGATGCTGGGGGGCATAATGTGAGGGGTGATGCTGGGGGCATAATGTGAGGGGTGATGCTGGGGGGCATAAAGTGAGGGGTGATGCTGGGGGGCATAATGTGAGGGGTGATGCTGGGGGGCATAATGTGAGGGGTGATGCTGGGGGGCATAAAGTGAGGGGTGATGCTGGGGGCATAAAGTGAGGGGTGATGCTGGGGGGGCATAATGTGAGGGGTGATGCTGGGGGCATAATGTGAGGGGTGATGCTGGGGGGCATAATGTGAGGGGTGATGCTGGGGGCATAATGTGAGGGGTGATGCTGGGGGCATAAAGTGAGGGGTGATGCTGGGGGCATAATGTGAGGGGTGATGCTGGGGGCATAATGTGAGGGGTGATGCTGGGGGCATAAAGTGAGGGGTGATGCTGGGGGGCATAATGTGAGGGGTGATGCTGGGGGGCATAATGTGAGGGGTGATGCTGGGGGGCATAAAGTGAGGGGTGATGCTGGGGGGCATAAAGTGAGGGGTGATGCTGGGGGGGCATAATGTGAGGGGTGATGCTGGGGGCATAATGTGAGGGGTGATGCTGGGGGGCATAATGTGAGGGGTGATGCTGGGGGCATAATGTGAGGGGTGATGCTGGGGGCATAAAGTGAGGGGTGATGCTGGGGGGCATAATGTGAGGGGTGATGCTGGGGGCATAATGTGAGGGGTGATGCTGGGGGCATAAAGTGAGGGGTGATGCTGGGGGGCATAAAGTGAGGGGTGATGCTGGGGGGCATAATGTCTCAAGTGTTCATATCAAATTCACTTGAGGAAGTCATAAGTTGGAACCGAAATCGGCAACTGGACCCAGATGGTGTCTAGGTTCCGGCTATCACCGCTTCCATTATCCGGAATATCGCATTATCCGGACCTCCGGCTTACAGTGTCGTCGCGTAACCGAACTTCCGGTTTACCGGGTCTTCAACCATCCGCTCCAGCATATTATTCAATATGTGTGTGTGTGTGTGTTTATATATATATATATATATATATATATATATATATATATATATATATATATATATATATATATATATATATATATATGTCGTACCTAGTAGCCAGAACGCACTTCTCAGCCTACTATGCAAGGCCCAATTTGCCTAATAAGCCAAGTTTTCATGAATTAATTGTTTTTCGACTACCTAACCTACCTAACCTAACCTAACCTAATTTTTTCGGCTACCTAACCTAACCTATGAAAATAGGTTAGGTTAGGTTAGGTAGGGTTGGTTAGGTTCGGTCATATATCTACGTTAATTTTAACTCCAATAATAAAAAATTGACCTCATACATAATGAAATGGGTAGCTTTATCATTTCATAAGAAAAAAATTTGAGAAAATATATTAATTCTTGAAAACTTGGCTTATTAGGCAAATCGAGCCTTGCATAGTAGGCTGAGAAGTGCGTTCTGGCTACTAGGTACGACATATATATATATATATATATATATATATATATATATATATATATATATATATATATATATATATATATATATAATTAACTGCTGACAATGGGTGTAGGAGGCTCAAGCAGCTGGAACTACCCCAAATGACCGAAGGTGTGGAGTAGAGTCGTAAATACAGTTGTGGTGGTGGTGGTGGGTGAGCAATATTGTGTTTCTTTAGAGATTTCTGGGCGTTGAAGTTATTACAGTGGCTGACAGCTGGTGTGTTGGGTGGGATTCATGAGTGTGGGAAAATCCACTGTGTATTCTCAGGTGGGGTGCTGTTCTTCCATTTACATTTCCTTATGAATGTTGAGCTAATCACCGCGGTGTCTTCAGAACTGGTTGGGCCTTGGGGGGACTCTTGGATCAGGATCTTGAGCTAAGGTGTGGAACGTCGCCTCAGTCCCACTATACCTGGATTGTACCTGGATCAGGTTTCGGGAGTTCTTCTACTCCCTAAAGTCGGCTCGTGTCAAAGCTTGACTTGTGAGAGCTTGGTCCACTAGGCTGTTGCTTGGAGCGGCCCGCAGGCCCCTTATATCCACTACAGCCTGGTTGGTCCGGCGCTTCTTGAAGAAAAGTGTTCAATTTTTTTTTACTTGAAGACTTCCACGTTTGTTCTGGCAATATTTCTTATACTCGCAGTGAAGATGGTGAACCCCCGTGCTCCTCTACAGTGATCTCGTTGTCCTCTACAGTGTTCTCGTGCTCCTCTACAGTGTTCTCGTGCTCCTCTACAGTGTTCTCGTGCTTCTCTACAGTGTTCTCGTGCTTCTCTACAGTGTTCTCGTTGTCCTCTACAGTGTTCTCGTTGTCCTCTACAGTGTTCTCGTTCTCCTCTACAGTGTTCACGGTCACTATGTCTAAGATTATGACCAAAGTGTTTAACAACTTCTTCTGCTCTCTTGAATCTTAGTTGCTATCTTCTGGTGTCTGTAACTCTGCACTGTGGTAGTGTTCCAGGGGTCTGTTGTGTCTGTAACTCTGCACTGTGATAGTGTTCCAGGGGTCTGTTGTGTCTGTAACTCTGCACTGTGGTAGTGTTCCAGGGGTCTGTTGTGTCTGTAACTCTGCACTGTCTGTCGGCCGCTTCTTCATAGACTGATAAATACTGTAAATGAAAATTGTTTCTTCTGTAAAATTACCAACAATTGTGTGAGAAATTAGTCCTCTCATTGTTTACAGTCCCTCCTCATTGTTTACAGTCCCTCCTCATTGTTTACAGTCCCTCCTCATTGTTTACAGTCCCTCATTGTTTACAGTCCCTCCTCATTGTTTACAGTCCCCCTCATTGTTTACAGTCCCCCTCATTGTTTACAGTCCCTCCTCATTGTTTACAGTCCCTCATTGTTTACAGTCCCTCCTCATTGTTTACAGTCCCCCTCATTGTTTACAGTCCCTCCTCATTGTTTACAGTCCCTCCTCATTGTATACAGTCCCTCCTCATTGTTTACAGTCCCTCATTGTTTACAGTCCCTCCTCATTGTTTACAGTCCCCCTCATTGTTTACAGTCCCTCCTCATTGTTTACAGTCCCTCATTGTTTACAGTCCCTCCTCATTGTTTACAGTCCCCCTCATTGTTTACAGTCCCTCCTCATTGTTTACAGTCCCTCATTGTTTACAGTCCCTCCTCATTGTTTACAGTCCCTCCTCATTGTTTACAGTCCCTCCTCATTGTTTACAGTCCCTCCTCATTGTTTACAGTCCCTCATTGTTTACAGTCCCCCTCATTGTTTACAGTCCCCCTCATTGTTTACAGTCCCTCCTCATTGTTTACAGTCCCTCCTCATTGTTTACAGTCCCTCCTCATTGTTTACAGTCCCTCCTCATTGTTTACAGTCCCTCCTCATTGTTTACAGTCCCTCCTCATTGTTTACAGTCCCTCATTGTTTACAGTCCCTCATTGTTTACAGTCCCTCCTCATTGTTTACAGTCCCTCCTCATTGTTTACAGTCCCTCATTGTTTACAGTCCCTCATTGTTTACAGTCCCCCCTCATTGTTTACAGTCCCTCATTGTTTACCGTCCCTCATTGTTTACAGTCCCTCATTGTTTACAGTCCCTCATTGTTTACAGTCCCTCCTCATTGTTTACAGTCCCTCATTGTTTACAGTCCCTCCTCATTGTTTACAATACCTCCTCATTGTTTACAGTCCCTCATTGTTTACAGTCCCCCTCATTGTTTACAGTCCCCCTCATTGTTTACAGTCCCCCTCATTGTTTACAGTCCCTCATTGTTTACAGTCTCCCTCATTGTTTACAGTCCCCCTCATTGTTTACAGTCCCTCCTCATTGTTTACAGTCCCTCATTGTTTACAGTCCCTCCTCATTGTTTACAGTCCCTCCTCATTGTTTACAGTCCCCCTCATTGTTTATAGTCCCCCTCATTGTTTACAGTCCCCCTCATTGTTTACAGTCCCCCTCATTGTTTACAGTCCCTCCTCATTGTTTACAGTCCCTCCTCATTGTTTACAGTCCCTCATTGTTTACAGTCCCCCCTCATTGTTTACAAACCCTCCTCATTGTTTACAGTCCCTCATTGTTTACAGTCCCTCATTGTTTACAGTCCCCCTCATTGTTTACAGTCCCCCTCATTGTTTACAACAGTTAAGGAAATGTAAACAAAGCTCTGGTGATTAAGGAAAGATGTACAGGTTTCGTAAGTGAAGATGTAAATGCTTGAAGAATCCCGACCCTGGATGTTCTAGGAGAGTTATCAGCTTCACATGCTCTTCCGGATTGGGTTCGATTCCCTTCCCTTATCTTGAGGTATATCTTGAGATGATTTCGGGGCTTTAGTGTCCCCGCGGCCCGGTCCTCGACCAGGCCTCCACCCCCAGGAAGCAGCCCGTGACAGCTGACTAACTCCCAGGTACCTATTTACTGCTAGGTAACAGGGGCATTCAGGGTGAAAGAAACTTTGCCCATTTGTTTCTGCCTCGTGCGGGAATCGAACCCGCTCCACAGAATTACGAGTCCTGCGCGCTATCCACCAGGCTACGAGGACCCCTTGTTTACAGCCAGCGACTCCACTCAACAAATAGGCTCGTAACAGGATTCGAAGCGAATCAGAAGAACTAGAACCGGAGGATGTTGTTCTTAAATACACTGAGTGATGAACTCAGCGATGGCTGCCAGACTTTAACCTCGAAAAATGCAATATCATGAGAGATGAAACTGGCAAGAAGAACTAAGTAGCAACACAGAGAAGAGGAAAAGACATGAGAGTACATAGTAGGTCTTAACCTGACATAGTCAGTGTGTGCAATGGTTGCAACATGGGCAGCTGCTTTAACGAACCTGGAGAAGGAACGTTTTTCAACCTCAACCAACAAATACAACATACTGTATACAACCAATAAATGCAACATACACACTGTATACAACCAGCAAATACAACACAATATATACACCCAAAAGCAAAACTCTAGAAATCCTAGACAAAACTTGCCCTAGTGCTGCTTGATATCTGGTTGATACCTGGTTGATGGGGTTCTGGGAGTTGTTCTACTCCCCAAGCCCGGCCCGAGGCCAGGCTTGACTTGTGAGAGTTTGGTCCACCAGGCTGTTGCTTGGAGCGGCCCGCAGGCCCACATATACCTGGTTGATGGGGTTCTGGGAGTTCTTCTACTGCCCAAGCCCGGCCCGAGGCCAGGCTTGACTTGTGAGAGTTTGGTCCACCAGGCTGTTGCTTGGAGCGGCCAGCAGGCCCACATATACCTGGTTGATGGGGTTCTGGGAGTTCTTCTACTCCCCAAGCCCGGCCCGAGGCCAGGCTTGACTTGTGAGAGTTTGGTCCACCAGGCTGTTGCTTGGAGCGGCCCGCAGGCCCACATATACCTGGTTGATGGGGTTCTGGGAGTTGTTCTACTCCCCAAGCCCGGTCCGAGGCCAGGCTTGACTTGTGAGAGTTTAGTCAACCAGGCTGTTGCTTGGAGCGGCCCGCAGGCCCACATACCCACCACAGCCCGGTTGGTCCTGAACTTTTCTTAGAAAATAGTCCAGTTTCCTCTTAAAGATGTCCACGGTTGTTCCGGCAATATTTCTTATGCTCGCTGGGAGGACGTTGAACAACCACGGACCTCTGATGTTTATACAGTGTTCTCTGATTGTGCCTATGGCACCTCTGCTCTTCACTGGTTCTATTCTGCATTTTCTTCCATATCGTTCACTCCAATATGTTGTTATTTTACTGTGCAGATTTGGGACCTGTCCCTCCAGTATTTTCCATGTGTATATATTATTTGGTATCTCTCTCGTCTCCTTTCTAGTGAGTACATTTGGAGAGCTTTGAGACGACCCCAATAATTTAGGTGCTTCATCGCGTCTATGCGTGCCATATATGTTCTCTGTATTCCCTCTATTTCAGCAATCTCTCTTGCTCTGAAGGGGGAAGTGAGTACTGAGCAGTACTCGAGACGGGACAACACAAGTGATTTCAAGAGTACAACCATCGTGATGGGATCCCTGGATTTGAAAGTTCTCGTAATCCATCCTGTCATTTTTCTGGCTGACGCAATATTTGCTTGGTTATGCTCCTTAAACGTTAGGTCGTCGGACATCATTATTCACAAATCCTTTACATGCTGTTTTCCTACTATGGGACGATTCGATTGTGTTTTGTACCCTGTATTATGTTTAAGGTCCTCATTTTTGCCGTACCTGAGTACCTGAAATTTATCACTGTTAAACCTCATGTTATTTTCTGCTGCCCAGTCGAAAACTTTGTTGATATCTGCTTGTAATTTTTCAATGTCTTCAGCAGAGGTAATTTTCATGCTGATTTTTGTGTCATCTGCAAAGGACGACACGAAGCTGTGACTTTTATTTTTGTCTATATCTGATATGAGAATAAGGAACAGCAGTGGTGCAAGGATTGTACCTTGAGGTACAGAGCTTTTAACATCGCTTGGACTCGATTTTATTTGATTGACTGTTACTCTTTGTGTTCTGTTCGACCGGAAATTGAGTATCCAGCGTCCTACTTTCCCAGTTATTCCCATTGTCCTCATTTTGTGTGCTATCACCCATGGTCACATTTGTCGAACGCACATTCGAACGAACGAATACAACATCTGCATTTTGCTTTTCTTCTAGGGCTTCTGTGATTTTGTCATAGTGGTTGAGTAACTGTGACAGACTGGATCTTCCCGCTCTAAATCCATGTTGTCCTGGGTTGTGTAGCTCATTATTTTCCATAAAACTAGAAATTAGATTCCTAATCACTCTTTCAAACACTTTTATTATGTGTGATGTTAGTGCAACTGGCCTATAATTTTTTGCCAAGGCTTTACTCCCCCCTTGTGCAACGGAGCTATATCTGCAGATTTAAGTGCTGCTGGTATCTCCCCTGTATCCAAGCTCTTTCTCCATATTACGCTGAGTGCTCTCGCTACTGGTACTTTACATTTCTTTATGAATATTGAATTCCATGAGTCAGGCCCAGGAGCTGAGTGCATGGGCATATTGTCAATTTCTCGTGCAAAGTCTTCCGAGTTTGTGGTAATATCCGTTATATTATCTGCAGCTTGAATGTCATTCATAAAGAAGCTGTCTGGGTCATCAACTTTCATGTTGTTTATTGGTGTGCTAAACATAGCCTCATACTGGCTTCTTAGAATTTCACTAATCTCTTTGTTGTCCTCTGTGTACGTACCTTCATTTGTAATTAACGGTCCAATACTGGTCGAGGTTTTTGATTTTGATTTTGCGTATGTTAAAAAAATATTTTGGATTTTTCATTATCTCTTGTATAGCTTTCTATTCCAATTCCATTTCCTCAGACTCATATGATCGCTTCAACGTTTGTTCTATTTCTTCCATCTCCCTGCTTAGGCTTATTTTCCTTGCATGTGATAGTCGTGTCTGCCTAAGCATTTCCGGTTTTTTCCCTTCTCCTGTACAGTCGTCTGCGTTCTCTTTCTAGAGTGGTCCTCTTTCTGCCCCTCCTCACAGGCACGTGCTTCAAGCAGACCTTGTAAGCTTCAGCCGTCAGTTGAGCTATTCCCTGTGTGGGAGTTTTGTCGTTTAAGACCGTCTCCCGATCTAAATGTAGATCCCAAGGTCTACATTTATTTGGGAGGGAAAGAGGGCTGCTGGGAGGGTCCTACAGGAAGATTGAACCACACAACAAGAATGAAGGAACAAGAAGGCCTTGATAAACAAGGCAAACAAAGAGAAACCTCAATAAAGTGTACGAAGAAGCAGGACTCTTAAAAGAGGAGAACCAGCAAACCATTTAACACAAATAGAATGAATTATTAGATGATGCTTAATAGTGTTATTCGACCGACAGATGGGTAAGGCGAGGCTTGGGAGCTGGCACTCAACCCTGTATAAGGCCCACATCTCGGGGTGCCACCACCATGGGAGCACCCAGAGTGCCACCACCATGGGAGCACCCAGGGTGCCACCACCATGGGAGCACCCAGAGTGCCACCACCATGGCAGCACCCAGGGTGCCACCACCATGGGAGCACCCAGAGTGCCACCACCATGGCAGCACCCAGAGTGCCACCACCATGGGAGCACCCAGGGTGTACCACCACCATGGGGGCACCCAGGATACCACCACCATGGCAGCACCCAGGATGTACCACCACCATGGGAGCACCCAGGATGTGCCACCACCATGGGAGCACCCAGGATGTACCACCACCATGGGAGCACCCAGGATGTACCACCATGGGAGTGTACCCAGGATGTACCACCACCATGGGAGCACCCAGGATGTACCACCACCATGGCAGCACCCAGGATGTACCACCACCATGGCAGCACCCAGGATGTACCACCACCGTGGGAGCACCCAGGGTGCCACAACCACTATTATCAATCCGGATAAAGAGTGATCGATTTACATGTAATTTGAGCTGTTTCAGATTGTTGACTTGGAGTGTATTATGGGAGATGAGGCTGTCTCTCCCACAGTCATTCCCCTGGGAGAACACACCCAGATGCCTACTTGTGTGAGAGCTCCCTCCTCTCTCCCTCCCTCTTCCTTATTTCCTTCCCTTCTAGCCTCTATCCCTCCCATCCCAGCAGCCAACGTGAGAGACACTGGGAATGTGAAACTTGTATCACAGGTTCGAGTTTAGACTAGTTGGGGCCGCTTCAAGTAGGCCCTATTGTAGGTGGCTGCCGCACGCTCTCTCTCTCTCTCTCTCTCTCTCTCTCTCTCTCTCTCTCTCTCTCTCTCTCTCTCTCTCTCTCTCTCTCTCTCTCTCTCTCTCTCTCTCTCTCTCTCTCTCACCCCGTCTCCTCTAATTTAACTAATTGAACTTCTGTATCGTTCTCACATAGTGTTTGAGGCTTTCAAGAGGAGGGGGTGGATGAGGGGGGGTGGATGAGGGGGTGTGGATGAGGGGGTGGGATGAGGGGTAGTGGATGAGGGGTAGTGGATGAGGGGAGGTGGATGAGGGGTAGTGGATGAGGGGTAGTGGATGAGGGGAGGCGGATGAGGGGTAGTGGATGATGGGTAGTGGATGAGGGGTAGTGGATGAGGGGTAGTGGATGAGGGGGAGTGGATGAGGGGAGTGGATGAGGGGAGTGGATGAGGGGAGTGGATGAGGGGAGGTGGATGAGGGGAAGGGTTTAGATAATGGAGGTTGTTGTTAAAGATTTGCTACCTGGAACAAAGTTCCAAGTAGCACGGGCTATGGTGAGCCCGTAGTGCCTTAAATAATGGAGGTGGTTCTATGTTTTTATGAAAATGTTACCCTAAATTTTCTTGCGTTAATGGTATTCACTAAAACATTCTTACCTAAGAGTTCTTTACGACGTGTTCTTATCTAAGAGTAGATCTCGCTAAGATCTGCTCTAAGAGTAGATCTTATCTAAGGTGACATCTTATCTAGATGAAGTCTTCTTATCTGTGCTCTAAGAGTGGGTGGCCGAGCTCTGAGAGTGGGTGGCCAAGCTCTTGAGAGTGGGTGGCAGAGCTCTGAGAGTGGGTGGCCAAGCTCTCAAGAGCTTGGCCACCCACTCTCAGAGCTCGGCCACCCACTCTCAAGAGCTCGGCCACCCCACTCTCAGAGCTCGGCCACCCACTCTCCAGAGCTTGGAAGCCCACTCTGGCCGAGCTCTAAGAGTGGGTGGCCGAGCTCTGAGAGTGGGTGGCCGAGCTCTGAGAGTGGGCTTCCAAGCTCTGGAGAGTGGGGTGGCCGAGCTCTGAAAGTGGGGTGGCCGAGCTCTGAGAGTGGGGTGGCCGAGCTCTTGTGAGTGGGGTGGCCGAGCTCTGAGAGTGGGGTGGCCGAGCTCTAAGAGTGGGGTGGCCGAGCTCTTGAGAGTGGGTGACCGAGCTCTGAGAGTGGGGTGGCCGAGCTCTTGAGAGTGGGTGACCGAGCTCTCGAGTAAGCGGCCAAGCTCTGAGAGCTGGGGCCAAGTTGCTGTATTGCTGCTGCTGCTGCTCCTGCTGCTGCTGCTGCTGCTGCTGCTGCTCCTGCTGCTCCTGCTGCTGCTGCTGCTGCTGCTCCTGCTGCTGCTGCTGCTGCTCCTGCTGCTGCTGCTGCTGCTGCTGCTCCTGCTGCTCCTGCTGCTGCTGCTGCTCCTGCTGCTGCTGCTGCTGCTGCTCCTGCTGCTGCTGCTGCTCCTGCTGCTGCTGCTGCTGCTCCTGCTGCTGCTGCTGCTGCTGCTGCTGCTGCCTGCTGCTGCTGCTGCTGCTGCTGCTCCTGCTGCTGCTGCTGCTGCTGCTCCTGCTGCTGGGGGCGCCGCCCCCCAGCATACTGGGCTTACGGGCTTCCAGCAACCAAGCCGCAGGATTGGCTGCTCATGTTTATAAATGACCACAATTTAATGACCTCGGCATTTAAAGCCATTATTTTCATATTAGTTTATTGGCATTTAGAGCTTTGCAACAGGAGTGAGTAGAGGCGACATAGAGTACCGGGTCGAGCCATTTTCCATGTAGCTCTAAATAGTTATCTTCTTGAGGTTATCTTGAGATGATTTCGGGGCTTTAGTGTCCCCGCGGCCCGGTCCTCGACCAGGCCTCCACCCCCCAGGAAGCAGCCCGTGACAGCTCTAAATAGTTATCTTCTTGAGGTTATCTTGAGATGATTTCGGGGCTTTAGTGTCCCCGCGACCAGGTCCTCGACCAGGCCTCCACCCCCCAGGAAGCAGCCCGTGACAGCTGACTAACACCCAGGTACCTATTTTACTGCAAGGTAACAGGGGCATAGGGTGAAATAAACTCTGCCCATTGTTTCTCGCCGGCGCCTGGGATCGAACCCAGGACCACAGGATCACAAGTCCCGCGTGCTGTCCGCTCGGCCGACCGGCTCCTTTAGCTAGCTCTAATAGCTCTGCACGTTATCTAAAAGACCTTTCACTGATTATTGGAGCGATGATTAATAGCATGCAGTATGCAATAGGTGTATCAGTGCAATAGATCACGCTGTTGCAATGCAAGATCAATACAATATGCAGGCGATGAGTCACAATAACGTGGCTAAAGTATGTTGACCAGACCACACACTAGAAGGTGAAGGGACGACGACGTTTCGGTCCGTCCTGGACCATTCTCAAGTCGATTTGACTTGAGAATGTTAATCGACTTGAGAATGGTCCAGGACGGACCGAAACGTCGTCGTCCCTTCACCTTCTAGTGTGTGGTCTGGTCAACAATACAATAGCTTAACGTTAGATGTGTAATGTCAATGCTGAGTGACGTTCATTGCGGTATATTGGACTTATTGAGGTCAGTATATCTCCACTTATTGCGATCTGGAAGACTTAACTAGACTTACTGGCATCTGAAAGACTCATAACTGGACTTACTGGCATCTGAAAGACTCATAACTGGACTTACTGGCATCTGGAAGACAGATAACTGGACTTACTGGCATCTGCAAGACAGATAACTGGACTAACTGGCATCTGTTAGACAGATAACCGGACTTACTGGCATCTGGAAAACTTAACTGGACTTACTGGCATCTGCATGACTGATAACTGGACTTACTGCCATCTGGAAGACTGATAACTGGACTTACTGGCATCTGCAAGACAGATAACTGGACTTACTGGGATCAGGAAAAGATAACTTGACTTACTTGGAACTGGACTTACTGCCATCTGCAAGACTGATAACTGGACTTACTGGTATCCGCAAGACAGATAACTGGACTTACTGGCATCTGCATGACAGATAACTGGACTTAATGGCATCTGTAAGACAGATAACTGGACTTATTGGCATCCGCAAGACAGATAACTGGACTTACTGGCATCTGGAAGACAGATAACTGGACTTACTGCCATCTGCAAGACAGATAACTGGACTTACTGGCATCCGCAAGACAGATAACTGGACTTACTGGGATCAGGAAAAGATAACTTGACTTACTTGGATCTGGAAAAGATAACTGGACTTACTGGCATCTGTAAGACAGATAACTGGACTTACTGGCATCCGCAAGACAGATAACTGGACTTACTGGCATCTGCAAGACGGATAACTGGACTTACTGGCATCTGCAAGACGGAAGCCTCTAAGCGATATATCGCCGACTCAGCTAAGGCGTTGGGTTATATCGCAATATGTGCTTAAAGTGAGCTTAGAGAGCGAGTCGACTCTTAAAAAACACATTCCTTAAAGGTCACTTAAGAGACAAGCGGAGCTCCGCTAAAGGTCGGGTGTAATCATGGGTAGATGGGGGGAGGGGGGGGAGGGGGGTGGATGCTGGGACTATAGTGTGGAGGGAGGTTGATTTTTTTTTTATGGAGGGAGGGAGGGAATGGGTAATGAAGGGGGGTATGGGATGGGTGATGAGGGGTTTTTAGATATGGGAGATGTGTAACGTATCGGAAAATGAGAAAAAGAAATGAGTAATGTAGTAATGAGTGAGGGTTTGGAGTGAGGGAGGTAGAGAGGGAGGTAGAGAGGTAGGTAGAAGAGAGGTGAGAGGAGTACTAGAAGTAGTGTGGTCAGTTGAAGAGAGGCGGAGGGAGAGGAGAGAGAGTAGGAAGTGGAAGGTAGAAGGGTAGATAGGTAAAAGTAGCTGTAAGTAGAAGTTGAGGTAGAAAAGGGCTGCCACCATCCATTCTAGTTCCATTACATACACGACAAGGAATGGAACTTGTCTGTATCACCAAATTACCAAAGATGTTGTTAGCCTGTGTCAACTGGAATCATGTATCTTGTTCCATGCAAGATTCTTTAAGTCAATAAACTCAAGAGTGCTCTACACTCTAGCGGGCAATATATCAGAAAATCCAAGATCTAGGGAACACAATTAAAGTCAGATTAAAGAGTAAGTTAATCAAGCATATTTAACATGATAAATATCATATTTCAAGCAATTTAACTTAATGTTCACTATGTCATGATTAATAGTCAATGTGTTTCACCACACACGACATTGAGGACACTACAGTTGAGTGGGTCTGAAATCATACAACACCTTCAGTTTGGAAAACACGAAATAAGTCACCTTAACGTTCAACTCACCAAGACTAAGGTGGATCAACCCATTCTCGCACTTGCTTATAGTCAATATCTTGCTTATTAATAAGTGCATATGTGACATACTAATTTATTGTGAATATTTGAGTTTACCTTGAAAAGCTGAATAGAAAACCACAACCTAACCTAACCTAACCTAACCTAACCTAACCTTCTTAGTATGTTAAAATATTACAATTAGTACTGAACCAATACCTATATTGATATTACAGTTTTATAAAAATAATAAAACAAAACTAAAATATGCAAATAAATTGTAAAGTAACTCAGGATATTGTCAAATTTTGTATAAAATCTCTATTGTTTAATAAAATGGAGAGAAAAAATTACTGCCTTGAAAAAAATATGGCTTGAATTATGTCACATATGTACTTATTTATAAGCGAAATAATGACTATAAGCAATAAGTCACCTATGTGCTGTGTTGTGCGAGAGCAGGTTGCGTGGATAGAGCAAACCGGCCTCTTAAAATAACGTCGCTTTTGGCTCGTATGCGCGGCGCTATGGCCGAATTTGGACTTAATTTGAAATGAAATCGGCTCACAAAAGTGACGTACTGTCCCGTTTTCTGTTTGAGTCGTCCGGCTTACTCGGCAAGGTTAGGAGAGGAAACTTTCCATTAATATTTTTCATACAAATTTGAAACTTTATGAGATTTTCCTGCCCACCTAACCTACCGGAGGACCCTTAACTTACTGTTGTTGAAAAAAAATCCGAAATTTATTTTCATTTTTTTCATTTACAAATTACGTCCACTTTCGTAGCCCGTAGTGGACTTACCTGGCACTGGAGCAGGGCTGTAACTGTCTCGAATGTACAGTTCCCCGGGTATTTATACGGGTTCCTGATAGCCAAACTCTACCCACAAGTAAAGTAGCCTAAGGCTCTCTAACTACCACACCTTAAACAGCGGCTTGTTTGATGGGACCAACCCAGCCAGCCGTCTGCAATTACCAGCTTACCAGAAGCAAGGTTCAAGTTCAAGTTCAAGTATGTTCATTGAGATAAGCAATAAATACATCTCAAAGGGATAGAGTAGCTTAGGATATTTCTACCCCCAATTTCACACGACCTGACCAATGGCCGGGAGCCGGTCGGCCGAGCGGACAGCACGCTGGGCTTGTGATCCTGTGGTCCTGGGTTCGATCCCAGGCGCCGGCGAGAAACAATGGGCAGAGTTTCTTTCACCCTATGCCCCTGTTACCTAGCAGTAAAATAGGTATACCTGGGTGTTAGTCAGCTGTCACGGGCTGCTTCCTGGGGGTGGAGGCCTGGTCGAGGACCGGGCCGCGGGGACACACAAGCCCCGAAATCATCTCAAGATAACCTCAAGATAACCTCAAGAAGGCCGACAGTCTGGCGCCTCAAATTCTATTCTTGTCTAACTGACTCATGTACTATGTGAAATATTAGCTAAACACCTTTATGGTGTTACAAATGAAAAAGAAATCATAGACAGTATGCCTATGCACTCTGCACCAGGCCCTGATTCTTTGAACTCCGTGTATCTTCATGAGGTTATCTTGAGGTTATGATTTCGGGGCTTTAGTGTCCCCGCGGCCCGGTCCTCGACCAGGCCTCCACCCCCAGGAAGCAGCCCGTGACAGCTGACTAACACCCAGGTACCTATTTTACTGCTAGGTAACTGGGGCATAGGGTGAAACAAACTCTGCCCATTGTTTCTCGCCGGCGCCTGGGATCGAACCCAGGACCACAGGATCACAAGTCCAGCGTGCTGTCCGCTCGGCCGACCGGCTCCCCACATCAACTGTACAGAATGTACAACAGTTGATGTACATGTACATCAACTGTAAAAAAAAAAAGATTATCGAAGGCCCTTAACATTCCTTGGAGCCAGAGCTTAGATACTGGCGTTATCCCTGACATACTAAAAACAGCAGAGATAGCACCACTCCATAAAGGAGGTAATAAGGCAGAGGTAAAAAATTACAGACCGATAGCACTAACATCACACATCATAAAGATCTTTGAGAGAGTGCTAAGAAGTAAGATCACAAAATACATGGAATCACAGCATCTCCATAACCCCGGACAACATGGTTTCAGAACAGGGCGCTCTTGCCTGTCACAGTTGCTGGACCACTATGACATGGCATTAGATGCTATGGAAGACAAACAAAACGCTGATGTAATTTACACAGATTTCGCAAAAGCCTTCGACAAATGTGACCATGGTGTTATTGCACATAAAATGCGTTCAAACGGAATTACCGGAAAAATATGCAGATGAATACACATTTTCTGACTAACAGAACCCAATGTGTAATAGTCAACAAAATAAACTCCGGTCCATCAACCGTGAAGAGCTCAGTCCCCCAGGGTACTGTGCTTGCTCCAGTACAGTCCCCCAGGGTACTGTGCTTGCTCCAGTACAGTCCCCCAGGGTACTGTGCTTGCTCCAGTACAGTCCTTCAGGGTACTGTGCTTGCTCCAGTACAGTCCCCCATTGTACTGTGCTTGCTCCAGTACAGTCCCCCAGGGTACTGTGCTTGCTCCAGTACAGTCCCCCAGGGTACTGTGCTTGCTCCAGTACAGTCCCCCAGGGTACTGTGCTTGCTCCAGTACTTTTTCTCATCCTCATATCGGACATAGACAAGAACACAACCTATAGTACTGTATCATCCTTTGCAGATGACACTAGGATTTTCATGAGAGTTGGCAACATAGAGGACACGGCAAACCTCCAATCAGATGTAGATCAGGTCTTTCTATGGGCTACAGAAAATAATATGGTATTTAATGAAGACATGTTCCAGCTCATGCACTACAAAAAATAATATAAAAATGGAAACCACGTACAAAACGCAGTCAAATCATAACATAGAACGAAAAAGCAATGTAAAGGTTTTGGGTGTACTCATGTCGGAAGACCTTACCTTTAAAGAACACAATAAAATAGCCTGGTTGGATAACAAGAACCTTTCACACTAGAGATGCTATACCGATGATGATACTCTTCAAGACGCTAGTGCTCTCTAGAGTGGAGTACTGCTGCACAATGACAGCCCCTTTCAAAGCTGGAGAAATTGCTGACCTGGAGAGCGTGCCGAGATCCTTTACTGCTAGAATCCACTCAGTAAAACATCTTAACTACTTGGACCGACTAAAGAGCCTAAATCTGTATTCTCTTGACCGCAGGCGGGAGAGATACATTATAATTTACTCGTGGAAAATAGTAGAGGGGCTGGTCCCAAACCTGCACACAGAAATAACATCATCACATGAGACCAGAAGACATGGCAGGATGTGCAGAATACCCCCGTTGAAAAGCAGAGGTACAACAGGTACTCTGAGAGAGAACTCTATCAACACCAGAGGTCCGAGACTGTTCAACACGCTTCCACTACACATAAGGGGCATAACTGGCCGACCCCTCACAGTGTTCAAGAGAGAACTATCAACATCAGAGGCCCGAGACTGTTCAACACGCTTCCACTACACATAAGGGACATAACTGGCCGACCCCTCACAGTGTTCAAGAGAGAACTGGATAAGCATCTCCAAAGGATACCTGATCAACCAGGCTGATTCATACATCAGGCTGCGAGCAGCCGCGTCCAACAGCCTGGTTGACTAGCCTAGCAACGAGGAGGCCTGACAGAGGACCGGGCCATGGGGACGTTGAACCCCGAAACCACCGCAAGCTAAAGTAAGGTACCCTGTACGGCGGTCAACAGGTGAGAGGCACTGCAAGGAGAGGCTATGAAAGCCACCTTCATCCACAAATTTAAAGCCAAATTTGACAAAGAATTCGAACGACGGAATAGTTCAGTTATAGTACAACCAGACCAGTAGGCGGGGCCCAGGAGCTAGACCTCACTCCCCTCGGAGACACTGATCTATAAGTACCACCACTCACACTGCAAGATAGGTTAGCTTAGCATTTTAAAAGCACCGAATCACCTTCTGTGGTTGAGTGTTCAATAAACCCCTGAACTATATGTTTAACACATCTCTAACCCTGTCCATGGAGGACAGAAGAAAATGTATATATGCTGGTTAGCATTGTAAATGTCTGGCCACGTCTGTGGTAGAAAATAATAAAAAAAGATAACCCCTTCAGTCATCTCCATCAATATGTCTCAGTTATCCCTCAGCATCCCCTTTCCCCCTCCTACCTCTCATCTTTATTGCCTGTTCCTCACTTCTCTCTCCCCCCTCTCTCTCCCCCTTTTTCCTCTGTTCACCCTCTCCCCTCAGCCGTTGTTGGTGTGTGTGCCAGCCTCTAATGTTATTGTACCGCCTCCTGCCCCCCCCCCCAGGGTACCTGCCTCTCGTAATTAGGCTCTCAATCACATTGTTTGGTAATCCAGGAGCCTGCTGTTCCAGGCGCGGTCCACCACTGTACTGCGCTCTCCAGAACCATTAGCAGCCGTGGCTCTTTGAGTACCCATAGAGCATCGCCGCGTTTGGGCTCTAGGTTCAGTCGTAGAGCGTATGGTCCCTTGGCTCTAGGCTCAGCCGTAGAGCGTATGGTCCCTTGGCTCTAGGCTCAGCCGTAGAGCGTATGGTCCCTTGGCTCTAGGCTCAGCCGTAAAGCGTATGGTCGCTTGGCTCTAGGTTCAGCCGTAGAGCATATGGTCGCTTGGCTCTAGGCTCAGCCGTAGAGCGTATGGTCCCTTGGCTCTAGGCTCAGCCGTAGAGCGTATGGTCCCTTGGCTCTAGGCTCAGCCGTAGAGCGTATGGTCCCTTGGCTCTAGGCTCAGCCGTAGACCGTATGGTCCCTTGGCTCTAGGCTCAGCCGTAGAGCGTATGGTCCCTTGGCTCTAGGCTCAGCCGTAGAGCGTATGGTCGCTTGGCTCTAGGCTCGGCCGTAGAGCGTATGGTCCATTGGCTCTAGGCTCAGCCGTAGAGCGTATGGTCCCTTGGCTCTAGGCTCAGCCGTAGAGCGTATGGTCCCTTGGCTCTAGGCTCAGCCGTAGAGCGTATGGTCGCTTGGCTCTAGGTTCAGCCGTAGAGCATATGGTCGCTTGGCTCTAGGCTCAGCCGTAGAGCGTATGGTCGCTTGGCTCTAGGCTCAGCCGTAGAGCGTATGGTCCCTTGGCTCTAGGCTCAGCCGTAGAGCGTATGGTCCCTTGGCTCTAGGCTCAGCCGTAGAGCGTATGGTCCCTTGGCTCTACCTCCTCCTCTTTACCCTGGAGGATAAAGAGGAGGAGGAGGAGGTAGAGGTCTCCCTCCTCTTAGGGAGTCGGTCGGCCGAGCGGACAGCACGCGGGACTTGTGATCCTGTGGTCCTGGGTTCGATCCCAGGCGCCGGCGAGAAACAATGGGCGGAGTTTCTTTCACCCTATGGCCCTGTTACCTAGCAGTAAAATAGGTACCTGGGTATTAGTCAGCTGTCACGGGCTGCTTCCTGGGGGGTGGAGGCCTGGTCGAGGACCGGGCCGCGGGGACACTAAAAAGCCCCGAAATCATCTCAAGATAACCTTCACATTTCCTTTCCCCATCATCCCCACAGCACTTTCATATTCTCCTTTCCTACCTGAAACGCCCCCCCCCCCTCTTGCCTTCCCCAACTGATTCAGCACTTCCCCCACCTGCCTCAATCTTCCCTGCTTATCCCTTACCCATTTCCGTGCCCTTCCTACCCACCCCCCTCCCTCCACCTCCCCTCCCCCCCCATCACCTCTCCAACATCTCGTCTAACCCCTTAAATGACCCCAAACGACCCAAATTGACAGTAATTGGTGTAATGGTGGCACAGGAGGGCAGTAGTCCTGACCCCTGCATCACCGGGCCATTGCAACAGCCTCCGCTAATGGCTCTAATATAAGGGCGGGTCATTGTTTCTTAGCTGGTGGAGGGGGGATGGGGTGTGCTCATAAGTTGATGAGGCACAGAGGGAGGAAGGGGGTGGAGTTGATGGGGTTGATGTAGGGGGTGGGGGGAGGGCTGGGTGACACACCCACGATTGGATGGGGTTTAATTTAGGTGTTGGGCTTGAAGACTATCAACTATTGGAGGCCTGGTCGAGGACCGGGCCGCGGGGACACTAAAGCCCCGAAATCATCTCAAGATAACCTCAAGATAACCCCTGAAGGATTATTTAAGCTTATCAACCTCTGGAGGGTCAACAAGGATATACTCACAATGGTTGAACTCTTGAAGTCACTTGTGTTGTCCCGGCTTGAGTACTGCTCAGTACTCACTTCCCCCTTCAGAGCAAGAGAGATTGCTGAAATAGAGGGAATACAGAGAACATATACGGCACGCATAGACGACATAAAACACCTAAATTATTGGGATCGTCTCAAAGCCCTCTAAATGTACTCACTAGAAAGGAGACGAGAGAGATATTAAATAATATACACATGGAAAATACTGGAGGGTCAGGTCCCAAATCTGCACAGTAAAATAACAACATACTGGAGTGAACGATATGGAAGAAAATGTAGAATAGAACCAGTGAAGAGCAGAGGTGCCATAGGCACAATCAGAGAACACTGTATAAACATCAGAGGTCCGTGGTTGTTCAACGTCCTCCCAGCGAGCATAAGAAATATTGCCAGAACAACCGTGGACATCTTTAAGAGGAAACTGGACTGTTTTCTAACAAAAATTCAGGATCAGCCGGGCTGTGGTGGGTATGTGGGCCTGCGGGCCGCTCCAAGCAACAGCCTGGTGGACCAAACTCTCACAAGTCAAGCCTGGCCTCGGGCCGGGCTTGGGGAGTAGAAGAACTCCCAGAACCCCATCAACCAGGTATATGTGGGCCTGCGGGCCGCTCCAAGCAACAGCCTGGTGGACCAAACTCTCACAAGTCAAGCCTGGCCTCGGGCCGGGCTTGGGGAGTAGAACAACTCCCAGAACCCCATCAACCAGGTATATGTGGGCCTGCGGGCCGCTCCAAGCAACAGCCTGGTGGACCAAACTCTCACAAGTCAAGCCTGGCCTGCGGGCCGGGCTTGGGGAGTAGAAGAACTCCCAGAACCCCATCAACCAGGTATATGTGGGCCTGCGGGCCGCTCCAAGCAACAGCCTGGTGGACCAAACTCTCACAAGTCAAGCCTGGCCTCGGGCCGGGCTTGGGGAGTAGAAGAACTCCCAGAACCCCATCAACCAGGTATATGTGGGCCTGCGGGCCGCTCCAAGCAACAGCCTGGTGGACCAAACTCTCACAAGTCAAGCCTGGCCTCGGGCCGGGCTTGGGGAGTAGAAGAACTCCCAGAACCCCATCCACCAGGTATATGTGGGCCTGCGGGCCGCTCCAAGCAACAGCCTGGTGGACCAAACTCTCACAAGTCAAGCCTGGCCTCGGGCCGGGCTTGGGGAGAAGAACAACTCCCAGAACCCCATCAACCAGGTATATGTGGGCCTGCGGGCCGCTCCAAGCAACAGCCTGGTGGACCAAACTCTCACAAGTCAAGCCTGGCCTCGGACCGGGCTTGGGGAGTAGAAGAACTCCCAGAACCCCATCAACCAGGTATATGTGGGCCTGCGGGCCGCTCCAAGCAACAGCCTGGTGGACCAAACTCTCACAAGTCAAGCCTGGCCTCGGGCCGGGCTTGGGGAGTAGAAGAACTCCCAGAACCCCATCAACCAGGTATATGTGGGCCTGCGGGCCGCTCCAAGCAACAGCCTGGTGGACCAAACTCTCACAAGTCAAGCCTGGCCTCGGGCCGGGCTTGGGGAGTAGAAGAACTCCCAGAACCCCATCAACCAGGTATATGTGGGCCTGCGGGCCGCTCCAAGCAACAGCCTGGTGGACCAAACTCTCACAAGTCAAGCCTGGCCTCGGGCCGGGCTTGGGGAGTAGAAGAACTCCCAGAACCCCATCAACTAGGTATATGTGGGCCTGCGGGCCGCTCCAAGCAACAGCCTGGTGGACCAAACTCTCACAAGTCAAGCCTGGCCTCGGGCCGGGCTTGGGGAGTAGAAGAACTCCCAGAACCCCATCAACCAGGTATATGTGGGCCTGCGGGCCGCTCCAAGCAACAGCCTGGTGGACCAAGCTCTCACAAGTCAAGCCTGGCCTCGGGCCGGGCTTGGGGAGTAGAAGAACACCCAGAACCCCATCAAGCTGGTATATGTGGGCCTGCGGGCCGCTCCAAGCAACAGCCTGGTGGACCAAACTCTCACAAGGGGAGTAGAAGAACTCCCAGAACCCCATCAAGTAAGTGAGGCTGAGCTCCTCATGGCACTCCTAGTAAACAAAAGTCTTTCTCCAACCTCTCTCTCGCCTTTCCTTCACTTCCTTCTTTCCATCATTCCTACTTATGCAGTTTTGTCTTCATTCTCCACTTCTTTCCCTTCCAGCATTCTCCATCCCTCCCACTTATTCCCTCCCACCTACATACCCTCCCTCCATCTTAGACAATATACCCTCCCTACTTTCCCATCATATTGGTAACTGCTATCCATGGTGTCCGCCCCTTTCCTTGTGCCTCGCCTCCGTCATATCCGAGGAATAGCGTGACGTCTTGAGCCCAATCGCAAGGCACAAGACTAGAGTCTTGTGCACAACCGCTGCCAAGGTGTGCACTCGACTGAGCAAAGGCGTCCAAGTGAAGAGTAGTGGGCGCTGACCCTCAGTAGCAGGGACTGGAGTAGCAGTAGCAGGGACTGGAGTAGCAGTAGCAGGGGCTGCAGTAGCAGTAGCAGGGGCTGGAGTAGCAGTAGCAGGGGCTGGAGTAGCAGTAGCAGGGACTGGAGTAGCAGTAGCAGGGACTGAAGTAGCAGTAGCAGGGGCTGGAGTAGCAGTAGCAGGGGCTGGAGTAGCAGTAGCAGGGGCTGCAGTAGCAGTAGCAGGGGCTGGAGTAGCAGTAGCAGGGGCTGGAGTAGCAGTAGCAGGGGCTGGAGTAGCAGTAGCAGGGACTGGAGTAGCAGTAGCAGGGACTGGAGTAGCAGTAGCAGGGACTGAAGTAGCAGTAGCAGGGGCTGGAGTAGCAGTAGCAGGGGCTGGAGTAGCAGTAGCAGGGGCTGGAGTAGAAGTAGCAAGGGCTGGAGTAGCAGTAGCAGGGACTGAAGTAGCAGTAGCAGGGGCTGGAGTAGCAGTAGCAGGGGCTGCAGTAGCAGGGACTGAAGTAGCAGTAGCAGGGGCTGGAGTAGCAGTAGCAGGGGCTGGAGTAGCAGTAGCAGGGGCTGGAGTAGCAGTAGCAGGGGCTGGAGTAGCAGTAGCAAGGGCTGGAGTAGCAGTAGCAGGGGCTGGAGTAGCAGTAGCAGGGGCTGCAGTAGCAGGGGCTGGAGTAGCAGTAGCAGGGGCTGGAGTAGCAGTAGCAGTAGCAGGGGCTGCAGTAGCAGGGGCTGGAGTAGCAGTAGCAGGGGCTGGAATAGCAGTAGCAGGGGCTGGAGTAGCAGTAGCAGGGACTGGAGTAGCAGGGACTGGAGTAGCAGGGACTGGAGTAGCAGGGACTGGAGTAGCAGGGACTGGAGTAGCAGGGACTGGAGTAGCAGGGGCTGGAGTAGCAGTAGCAGGGGCTGGAGTAGCAGTAGCAGGGGCTGGAGTAGCAGTAGCAGGGGCTGGAGTAGCAGTAGCAGGGGCTGGAGTAGCAGGGACTGGAGTAGCAGGGGCTGGAGTAGCAGTAGCAGGGGCTGGAGTAGCAGTAGCAGGGGCTGGAATAGCAGTAGCAGGGGCTGGAGTAGCAGTAGCAGGGGCTGGAGTAGCAGTAGCAGGGGCTGGAGTAGCAGTAGCAGGGGCTGGAATAGCAGTAGCAGGGGCTGGAGTAGCAGTAGCAGGGCCTGGAATAGCAGTAGCAGGGACTGAAGTAGCAGCATTTAAGCTATTACTGGAGAAAGCAGTAGCATCAGCTGGAACAAAAAAAAAATAGCAGCTGAAGCAGAAGTTTCAACAACTGGAGCAGCTGTATCAACAGCAGTAGCTCCAGCAGCAAACAGCAGCAGCAACAGCAGCAGCAGCAGCAGCAGCAGCAGCAGCAAACAGCAGCAAACAGCAGACAACAGCACCAGCAGCAGCAAACAGCAGACAACAGCAGCAGCAACAGCAACAGCAGCAACAGCAGCAACAGCAGCAGCAGCAGCTGCAGCAGCAGCAGCAGCAGAAGCAGCAGAAGCAGCAGCAGCAAACAGCAGACAACAGCAGGCTCTGCTCTAGTATTATTACCCGATCATTTGAGCATGATGTCCACCCACTGTTCTCAGCCCCCCCAATGACAGGGAGAAAATATTGGGTCAAACACGTGTGTATTCCCATGTAATATGTTGAGAGTGGCTCCAGGAGTAGCGGCAGTCCTCCTCCTCCCTGCTGGAGTCCTGCTTGTGGGCGTGGTCACCCTCGTGGGCGTGGTAGCGTGGTTAGTGGGCGTGGGGGTGTTAGTGGGCGTGGGGGTGCTAGTGGGCGTGGGGTAGATACGTAACCTTTGAAGACTATTGTATAGGTAACTACCTTAGTGAACTATCATTCTTGGCTTGGTTGAACTATCATTTGGTTTTTGAACACTAATGTAGAAGTAACTGTCGTATTGAACTACCATCTTTTGAACACTAATGTAGAAGTAACTGTCGTATTGAACTACCATCTTTTGAACACTAATGTAGAAGTAACTGTCGTATTGAACTACCATCTTTTGAACACTAATGTAGAAGTAACTGTCGTATTGAACTACCATCTTTTGAACACTAATGTAGAAGTAACTGTCGTATTGAACTACCATCTTTTGAACACTAATGTAGAAGTAACTGTCGTATTGAACTACCATCTTTTGAACACTAATGTAGAAGTAACTGTCGTATTGAACTACCATCTTTTGAACACTAATGTAGAAGTAACTGTCGTATTGAACTACCATCTTTTGAACACTAATGTAGAAGTAACTGTCGTATTGAACTACCATCTTTTGAACACTAATGTAGAAGTAACTGTCGTATTGAACTACCATCTTTTGAACACTAATGTAGAAGTAACTGTCGTATTGAACTACCATCTTTTGAACACTAATGTAGAAGTAACTGTCGTATTGAACTACCATCTTTTGAACACTAATGTATAAGTAACTGTCGTATTGAACTACCATCTTTTGAACACTAATGTAGAAGTAACTGTCGTATTGAACTACCATCTTTTGAACACTAATGTAGAGATAACTACCTCGATGAACTACCATTCCGGATTTGAACACTACAACAACTCAAAGGATGATATATGAATTGGGTTTTATTTAACTACTGACTTTTATTCATTTTTATTTGAAATAAAAATGTATAAAAGTTTGTTATTATTTTTACATATATATATGTAAAACACACACACACACACACACATTATATATATATATATATATATATATATATATATATATATATATATATATATATATATATATATATATATATATATATATATTTACATATATTTGTTATTTCATTTTACATATATGTTCATGATAGGTGGTTATGCTGCATTAACGTCTATATAATTATATATGTATAATTCGTACATATAACAATATCGTATATATATAAAAGCCATTGCTTTAGTTAGATAATTATTCAGAAAAAAAATTATCTTTCCACATATTTGCCAGTTAATTTAAAGTGAGAGTTTTGATATTATTGATTTTATATTGAGAATAATTGATATTATTATGACATTGAGGAAACACAGACTACGAAATTGGGCGAATCTATTGGAAATTTTGGAAAAAAAATTTTTTTTACTGAGGGGGAAGGTTGGGGGGCATGGGGGGTTGGGGGAGTTAAGAGTTAAGTGGGATATCTAATTCTATGTCAGCCCCTGATATGGACCCCCTAATCCCACCTGTACTCTATCCCCTACCCCCCTTACCTGTACCCTAGCCCACCTGTACCCTAGCCCACCTGCACCCTAACCCCACCTGTACCTTTGGACCCCCTGTTCCACCTGCAGCTGTACAACTATCCACCTATTTTCTCCCTTGTACACCTGTGTCAGCACCTTTGTCCTTGTCATACATACACATCATAGACAATATGTCAAGTTTCTTGGACGTCAAGTTACTATACATAATACATACTTAAACACTTATACATATACATACTTATACACTCTGCCCGAAACGCTTTGCGTAATAGTGGCTTTAGGCATTGTATGTACTAGCTCTTATCTGTAAAGCCAACAAACTTTGTAAAATCTCTATGTATGTACCTTTGCCTAAATAAAAATTATTATTATTATTACATAAAATTGCCTGTTGGTCGTGCTACTTATACGTCAAGTTACCTTTACGTTAAGTAACTTACACACGTCAAATTGCCTGTGCATCAAATTAGTTACCTGTAAATTACCTGTAACTTATAGGCCAAGTTACATGTACAGATGCGTCAAGTTTGACCGTAAAGTAGCCAAGATGTGATCAACAACAGCCTAAATATAATCCCAAAAATATATAATCCCCCAAATATAATCCTCCAAATATAATCCTCCAAATATAATCCTCCAAATATAATCCTCCAAATATAATCCTCCAAATATAATCCTCCAAATATAATCCTCCAAATATAATCCTCCAAATATAATCCCCCAAATATAATCCCCCAAATATAATCCCCCAAATATAATCCTCCAAATATAATCCTCCAAATATAATCCTCCAAATATAATCCTCCAAATATAATCCTCCAAATATAATCCTCCAAATATAATCCTCCAAATATAATCCTCCAAATATAATCCTCCAAATATAACCCTGGACCATTATATTTGCTCTATCTCAAAATAATACCTGAGTGTGGCATTTATTTTTATATTTCTATTTGGGGGGAGGGGGGGGGGGAGGGGGAAACAGTGTTGGCACTGGTGTTGATATTTTTTGTATATATATAACATCTAAGTGTTTGTATAAGGCGTCGACCTGTGTTGATTTGTTGTGTGGTGGAAAGTGTGTGTAACATTGAGGGCCATGTACCCACACACCTGTTGTTTAAGTCGTAAGAGTTTGTTTATACTACAAAGGCAGGTGTGTGTGTGTGTGTGTGTGTGTCTGTGTGTGTGTGTGTGTGTGTGTATGTGTGTGTGTGTGTGTGTATGTGTTGTGTGTGTGTGTTGTGTGTGTGTGTGTACTCATCTAGTTGTGTTTGCGGGGGTTGAGCTATGGCCTATCATGGACCCTATGTGTGTGTGTGTGTGTGTGTGTGTGTGTGTTGTGTGTGTGTGTGTACTCATCTAGTTGTGTTTGCGGGGGTTGAGCTATGGCCTATCATGGACCCTATGTGTGTGTGTGTGTGTGTGTGTGTGTGTGTTGTGTGTGTGTGTGTACTCATCTAGTTGTGTTTGCGGGGGTTGAGCTATGGCCTATCATGGACCCTATGTGTGTGTGTGTGTGTGTGTGTGTGTGTGTGTGTGTGTGTGTGTGGGCGGGCAGTACTGGGGGGCGTGTTTGACTCTCTGCATGTCTCTAAACTTACTGCATGATATTATTTAATAACCAATAAATACACAAAGATATAATTTCTGTATATGCTTGTATTTAAACTAATTTTTCTCACCTAACTCATAACTTGAATGAATTTTCAAACTCATTATGCAAGCCAAATTGAAGAATATAAAAAAAAAAAAATTGCCATTTTTTTAGGGTTCAATTTTTTTGCTGATAATAGGAATCTGCAATTTTTTTTTTTTTTGTCCAAAAAGGCTAGAATTGGAACCCTGTCTTCTTTTTTTTCAAGCTTACCAAGAGAGCAACACAGGTGAGAGACCTTTTTTATCCTCCTCTGTCACCAGTAAGTAACCTTTTTTTCCCCCGGCACTCATTTTTTTGCCTTTGGAATATTCGCTGTGAAAAGGCACAGACAGACATTTGTTATCCTGAAGATAACAACAATCCTGAACACTGATATCCTGAACACTGATATCTTCTCTCCACCGACGTCTCTTTTAATGTGGTGTAACATAATATATATATATCACTAAAATGTCTAAATGACCCCCCGCCAGGATTCGAACCCTTGACGCCAATGATCACCCCCCAAACGTACACGATACTATGCCCACCGCACCATTGATCTTAAGACGATCAATGGTGCGCTGGTTACGGTGCCTTGTACGTTTTTAGGGGAGATCCTGGGCGTCATGGGTTCGAATCCTGGTGGGGTTATTTAGAGTTCTTAGTGATCTATGGCTTGCGCGAACTCTTCCAGCCATACATATACATTATATATATATATATATATATATATATATATATATATATATATATATATATATATATATATATATTCAAGGTAGTTGGTACGTATAGGTCTATACAGGCTGTAGTGCTGTAACGAGGAGTGTAAACCAGTAAACTTAACTGCAGTCAATCATTTGGTATTCATTTTGTATTTAAGAACATTACAGTGAATCACCACATCGAGCTTGGTGTACCTCTTGTGATCATTATGTAATGTTCTGAATTATGGCTGTAGCCACTTTGTCGATAATTCTGTGAACTAATTAGCTGGGGGGACAGTTAGTGCTACAAAGTGATGAATCATTCCCTCTAAAGATGTATTAATATGCGAAAGTACTTAAGGAAATTCCTGTTTCAATTCTTCCTCCGAAGTCTGACAGTCAAATATATGTGTGTGTGTATATATATATATATATATATATATATATATATATATATATATATATATATATATATATATATATATAGAGAGAGAGAGAGAGAGGCTTCAGACCTCCTACTAATTATTTTCCCCTCTGGTACATCACATTATTTGAATTTCTTTGTGCAAAGTTACCACAATTCCTTAGTGCTTGAATACAGGTCAAGCAAAGACCTAAAAAATATATATGTGTAAGTGAATTAAAACCCCCAATTTTGACATGTAGCCTACACCCTTTCTTAAGGTGTTGTATATACAGTGTCCTCACTGTATATAGTATACTGGCTGTATTATACATTCTCAGGACACTGTATACACCACCTTAAGAAAGGGTGTAGGTTACAGCCGGAAAATTGGGGAGTTTTAATTCACTTACACATATGTTGGGTCTTTGCTAGACCATCTTTATTATTAGTAGTAGTAGTAGTAATAATATATTTGTTGTTGTGGTGATAGATGCGATAACAAATTATGTGTTCAGTTGTTATGGGGAAGCAATAAAAAGTGAGTTAATATCTTAATTAATTATACTTTACATTATACTGTGGGATTTCACTGGGTATTATTTATATAATGAATAACATTGGGTTTGAAGCTGGGCTTATCAACTATAACATTGGGTTTGAAGCTGGGCTTATCAACTATAACATTGGGTTTGAAGCTGGGCTTATCAACTTATTGAGGTTATTATGGCAACCACGATAACAAGCTTAGCATCCAGCAGGTGAACGCGCGCGCACACACACACACACACACACACACACACACACACACACACACACACACACACTACACACACACACACTACACACACACACTACACACACTACACACACACACACTACACACACACACACTACACACACTACACACACACACACACACACACACACACACACACACACATACACACACAAGCACATCTAGGTGAGTACACACAGGGGGGCCTCGTAGCCTGGTGGATAGCGCGCAGGACTCGTAATTCTGTGGCGCGGGTTCGATTCCCACACGAGGCAGAAACAAATGGGCAAGCACAATTAGGTGAGTACACACACACACACACACACACACACACACACACACACACACACACACACACACACATTATGAGAAGGATTAAAACAGAAGAGGACTGTTTGAGGCTTCAAGAAGACCTAGACAAGCTGAAGGAATGGTCGAACAAATGGTTGTTAGAGTTTAACCCAACCAAATGTAATGTAATGAAGATAGGTGTAGGGAGCAGGAGGCCAGATACAAGTTATCATCTGGGAGAGGAAATTCTTCAGGAGTCAGAGAAGGAAAAAGACTTGGGGGTTGATATCACGCCAGACCTGTCTCCTGCAGCACATATCAAGCGGATAACATCAGCGGCATATGCCAGGCTGGCCAACATACGAACGGCATTCAGAAACTTGTGTAAAGAATCATTCAGAACTTTGTATACCACATATGTCAGGCCAATCCTGGAGTATGCAGCCCCAGCATGGAGTCCATATCTAGTCAAGGATAAGACTAAACTGGAAAAGGTTCAAAGGTTTGCCACCAGACTAGTACCCGAGCTGAGAGGTATAAGCTACGAGGAGAGACTACGGGAATTAAACCTCACTTCGCTGGAAGACAGAAGAGTTAGGGGGGCATGATCACCACATTCAAGATTCTGAAGGGGATTGATAGGGTAGATAAAGACAGTCTATTTAACACAAGGGGAACACGCACAAGGGGACACAGGTGGAAACTGAGTGCCCAAATGAGCCACAGAGATATTAGAAAGAACTTTTTTAGTGTCAGAGTGGTTGACAAATGGAATGCATTAGGAAGTGATGTGGTGGAGGCTGACTCCATACACAGTTTCAAGTGTAGATATGACAGAGCCCGATAGGCTCATGAATCTGTACACCTGTTGATTGACGGTTGAGAGGCGGGACCAAAGAGCCAGAGCTCAACCCCCGCAAACACAACTAGGTGAGTACACACACACAATACACCCTCTCGCTGTATATATTCAGAATATTAAACTGATTTGGTGTTTGGGGGTTCACGGCCTATATATAACCTCTTGAAGGGTCCACACACACCCATCGGAGCCGTGATAAGGATTCGAACCTATGCGGCTGGGTGTTAGCCCCAGGCACAGATTTACTCACTGATGCGATCACGTGTAAGCTGGATTACACCCGTTGTTCCTCTGGAGGGTGATCAATGGTCGTGACACGTGGTAAGTGATAACAGGGGGGGGGGGAGGGATCAATAGAGGGGGGAGGGGGATTATCATAGCACACATCAGTCCAGGTTCTGTCAGCACAAACAGTTAAGGTATCTCCTTGTGATTTATTGTACCTGTGCTTATTAGTACAGTCTTCACTACCTATCTTGAGGTTATCTTGAGATGATTTCGGGGCTTTTGAGTGTCCCCGCGGCCCGGTCCTCGACCAGGCCTCCACCCCCAGGAAGCAGCCCGTGACAGCTGACTAACACCCAGGTACCTATTTTACTGCTAGGTACCTAGACTAATGATTAATGATCTTCACAACCAGAACTAATTATTAATGTCTTCACAACCAGAACTAATTATTAATTAATGTCTTCACAACCAGAATAAATAATTAGCTTTCACAAGTACTTCTCTAATCACAACCAGAACGTCAGTAGAAACAGGATTAGTGACTTTTTTTATATTAAATTAAACTATTTATAAAAAGAGTAGAACGATAATCAACAATTTGCTAATTAAAAAATTCTCCCTACAATACAATTGTCGATTAGACTGACTGTTGTTAATTAGTGACGCCTCTACCACTTGAGACGCCTCTACCACTTAAGACGCCTCTACCACTTGAGACGCCTCTACCACTTAAGACGCCTCTACCACTTGAGACGCCTCTACCACTTGAGACGCCTCTACCACTTGAGACGCCTCTACCACTTGAGACGCCTCTACCACTTGAGACGCCTCTACCTCTCAAGACGCCTCTACCACTTGAGACGCCTCTACCACTTGAGACGCCTCTACCACTTGAGACGCCTCTACCACTTGAGACGCCTCTACCACTTGAGACGCCTCTACCTCTTGAGACGCCTCTACCACTTGAGACGCCTCTACCACTCAAGACGCCTCTACCACTCAAGACGCCTCTACCACTCAAGACGCCTCTACCACTTGAGACGCCTCTACCACTTAAGACGCCTCTACCACTCAAGACGCCTCTACCTCTCAAGACGCCTCTACCACTTAAGACGCCTCTACCACTTGAGACGCCTCTACCACTTGAGACGCCTCTACCACTCAAGACGCCTCTACCACTTAAGACGCCTCTACCACTTGAGACGCCTCTACCACTTAAGACGCCTCTACCACTTAAGACGCCTCTACCACTTGAGACGCCTCTACCACTTGAGACGCCTCTACCACTTGAGACGCCTCTACCTCTTAAGACGCCTCTACCACTTAAGACGCCTCTACCACTTAAGACGCCTCTACCACTTGAGACGCCTCTACCACTTAAGACGCCTCTACCACTTAAGACGCCTCTATACACTACAAGATTACCAGTCTCATCAACCAACCGACTAATCAGGTTGAACCATCAGAGATAACAAAGATAACATACAAGAGCTCACACTACAGTCTTCCATCCTCGCCGATCGGACAGCACACTGGACTTGTGATCCTGTGGTCCTGGGTTCGATCCCAGGCGCCGGCGAGAAACAATGGGCAAAGTTTCTTTCACCCTATGCCCCTGTTACCAAGCAGTAAAATAGGTACCTGGGTGTTAGTCAGCTGTCACGGGCTGCTTCCTGGGGGTGGAGGCCTGGTCGTGGACCGGGCCGCGGGGACACTAAAGCCCCGAAATCATCTCAAGATCCTTGTGGGAACATAAAGTTTTAGAACCAATCCACAAGGGCCGTGACGAGGATTCGAACCTGCGTCCGGGAGCATCCCAGACACTGCCTTGATCGACTGAGCTATTAATGTTCATTAATAGCTCTTAATAATTAGTTATTAATAATAATAGGTCTTAATTTTTGTTAATTTGATCCATCAGGTTAGTGTGATCTCTGTGTGTAATTAAGTTATAGTGGGTGATAGTGGGTAATTAAGTCATAGCAATTAAGTTATAGTGGGTGATAGTGGGTATCTTCTTGAGGTTATCTTGAGATGATTTCGGGGCTTTAGTGTCCCCGCGGCCCGGTCCTCGACCAGGCCTCCACCCCCAGGAAGCAGCCCGTGACAGCTGACTAACACCCAGGTACCTATTTACTGCTAGGTAACAGGGGCATAGGGTGAAAGAAACTTTGCCCATTTGTTTCTGCCTCGTGCGGGAATCGAACCCGCGCCACAGAATTACGAGTCCTGCGCGCTATCCACCAGGCTACGAGGCCCCCTAATAATTAGGGGGTAATTAAGTTATAGCAATTAAGTTATAGTGGGTGTCTAAGTACGCTAAGCTATAACATGGCTACATCTAAGACAGATAATCTTAAGATGCAGAACGGTAGACGGTAGAGCGACGGTCTCGCTTTCCTGCAGGTCAGTGTTCAATCCCCCGACCGTCCATAAGTGGTTGTGGACACCATTCCTTTCCCCCCGTCCTATCCCAAGTCCTTATTCTGACCCCTTCCCAGTGCTATATAGTCGCAATGGCTTGGCGCTTTCTCCTGATAGTTTCCTTCCTTCCCGACAGGTTGGGCTCGGGGAGTAGAAGAACCCCTGAAGCCCTCTCCAGGTATACTCCAAGTATACTCCAGGTATACTCCAGGTATACTCCAAGTATACTCCAGGTATACTCCAAGTATACGCCAGGTATACGCTAGGTATACTCCAGGTATACTCCAGGTATACGCCAGGTATACTCCAGGTATACTCCAAGTATAATCAACTGGAAAAAGCTTCGAGCTGCAACATCTGAAGAAAATATACTGTACAATGCAATCCTACATTATCATGATTAATACAAGTAAATACTATGGTGAGCGGGGATCACCATAGTCCGTGCTACTTGGAACTTTTTCTTCCAGGTAGCGAATCTTTAACAACAACAACAACTCATTATTTCATCAGCCAAACATTGTCTGTCTATCGAGGGCTATCTTGAGATCTTGTTATCTTGAGATGATTTCGGGGCTTTAGTGTCCCCGCGGCCCGGTCCTCGACCAGGCCTCCACCCCCAGGAAGCAGCCCGTGACAGCTGACTAACACCCAGGTACCTATTTCACTGCTAGATAACAGGGGGCATAGGGTGAAAGAAACCCTGCCCATTGTTTCTCTCCGGCGCCCGGGATCGAACCCAGGATCATGAGTCCAGCGTGCTGTCCACTCGGCCGACCGGGGGCTCCCATGGGCTGATGATTGAAAAATGCCTCTAAAAATCTGACCTTTTAAATACCCCTGAGAGCCATTTCCTCTCCTAGAACATTGTTATGTTTGATTTACACTTGTGATCAATATACCACTCTGGTGACTGAGTCATACTAACAACGTATAAATGTATATACCGCCACTATATCTCACAGTGAGGAATAATTAATATATAGCCCGCCCCCGTCAGAATGGCTCCCCTGCACGCAGCTGGTGCGCTGTCTCCTTACTGTGTCTGGCACGGTCACCGTTCACTGTATTCAACTGTGGTGACATACAGTACCTTGTTTGACGCCTCTGTGGCCCTCTATGGCACTTCTAGGATCCTGTGGCCCTCTATGGCACTTCTAGGATCCTGTGGCCCTCTATGGCACTTATAGGATCCTGTGGCCCTCTATGGCACTTCTAGGATCCTGTGGCCCTCTATGGTACATCTAGGTCCCTGTGGTCCTCTATGGTACTTCTAGGATCCTGTGGCCCTCTATGGTACCTCTAGGTCCCTGTGGCCCTCTATGGTACCTCTAGGTCCCTGTGGCCCTCTATGGCACCTCTAGGACCCAGTGGCCCTCTATGGCACCTCTAGGGCCCCTGTGGCCTTTATGGTACATCTAGGACCCTGTGACCTCTATGGCACCTCTAGGACCCTGTGGTCTTCTATGGCACATCTAGGTCCCTGTGGGCCTTCTATGGCACCTCTAGGACCCTGTGGCTTCTATGGCACCTCTATGACCCCTATAGGTCCTTGTGGCCCTCTATGGCACCTCTAGGTCCATGTGGCCCTCTATGGCACTTCTAGGACCCTGTGGCTCTCTATGGCACCTCTAGGTCCCTGTGGCCTCTATGGCACTTCTAGGTCCCTGTGGCCTCAATGGCACCTCTAGGTCCCTGTGGCCTCTATGGCACCTCTAGGTCCCTGTGGCCTCTATGGCACCTCTAGGTCCCTGTGGCCTCTATGGCATCTCTAGGTCCCTGTGGCCTCTATGGCACCTCTAGGTCCCTGTGGCCTGTATGGCACTTCTAGGACCCTGTGGCCTCTATGGCACCTCTAGGACCCTGTGGCCTCTATGGCACCTCTAGGACCCTGTGGCCTATATGGCACCTCTAGGTCCCTGTGGCCTCTATGGCACTTCTGGGACCCCGTGGCCCTCTATGGCACCTCTAGGTCCCTGTGGCCCTCTATGGCACTTCTAGGATCCTGTGGCCCTCTATGGCACTTCTAGGATCCTGTGGCCCTCTATGGCACATCTAGGTCCCTGTGGCAGTCTATGACACTTCTAGAACCCTGTGGCAGTTTATGGCACTTCTATGTCCCTGTGGCCCTCTATGGCACCTTGGTCCCTGTGGCTCTCTATGGCACCTCTAGGGCCCTGTGGCCCTCTATGGCACCTCTAAGGCCCTGTGGCCCTCTATGGCACCTCTAGGTCCCTGTGGCCCTCTATGGCACCTTTACGTCCCTGTGGCAGTCTATGGTACTTCTAGAACCCTGTGGCAGTCTATGGCACTTCTAGAACCCTGTGGCAGTCTATGGCACTTCTAGAACCCTGTGGCAGTCTATGGCACTTCTAGAACCCTGTGGCCCTCTATGGTACATCTAGGTCCCTGTGGCCCTCTATGGCACCTCTAGGTCCCTGTGGTTTTTATGGCACCTCTAGGACCCTGTGGCCTCTATGGCACCTCTAGGACCCTGTGGCCCCTCTATGGCACCTCTAGGGCCCTATGGCCTTCTATGGCACCTCTAGGGCCCTGTGGCCCTCTATGGCACCTCTAGGTCCCTGTGGCCCTCTATGGCACATCTAAGACCCTGTAGCCCTCTATGGCACTTCTAGAACCCTGTGGCCTTCTATGGCACCTTAGGTCCCTGTAGCCCTCTATGGCACCTCTAGGACCCTGTGGCCCTCTATGGCACCTCTAGGACCCTGTGGCCCTCTATGGCACCTCTAGGACCCTGTGGCCCTCTATGGCACCTCTAGGACCCTGTGGCCCTCTATGGCACCTCTAGGTCCCTGTGGCCCTCTATGGCACCTCTAGGTCCCTGTGGCCTCTATGGCACCTGTAGGTCCCTGTGGCCCTCTATGGCACCTCTGGGGCCCTGTGGCCCTCTATGGCACCTCTAGGTCCCCTGTGGCCCTCTATGGCACCTCTAGGTCCCCTGTGGCCCTCTATGGCACCTCTAGGTCCCCTGTGGCCCTCTATGGCACCTCTAGGTCCCCTGTGGCCCTCTATGGCACCTCTAGGTCCCCTGTGGCCCTATATGGCACCTCTAGGTCCCTGTGCCCTCTATGGCACCTCTAGGTCCCTGTGCCCTCTATGGCACCTCTAGGTCCCTGTGCCCTCTATGGCACCTCTAGGACCCTGTGGCCCTCTATGGTACCTCTAGGGTCCTGTGGCCCTCTATGGTACCTCTAGGGTCCTGTGGCCCTCTATGGCACCTCTAGGACCCTGTGGCCCTCTATGGCACCTAGGACCCTGTGGCCCTCTATGGCACCTCTAGGACCCTGTGACCCTCTATGGCACCTAGGACCCTGTGGTCCTCTATGGCACCTCTAGGTCCCTGTGGCCCTCTATGGCACTTCTAGGTCCCTGTGGCCCTCTATGGCACCTCTAGAACCCTGTGGCCCTCTATGGCACCTCTAGGACCCTGTTGCCTCTATGGTACCTCTAGGACCCTTTGGCCTCTATGGCACCTCTAGGAACCTGTGGCCCTCTATGGCACCTTTAGGTCCCTGTGGCCTTCTATGGCACCTCTGGGGCCCTGTGGCCTTCTATGGCACCTCTTGGTCCCTGTGGCCCTCTATGGCACCTCTAGGTCCCCTGTGGCCCTCTATGGCACCTCTAGGTCCCCTGTGGCCCTCTATGGCACCTCTAGGTCCCCTGTGGCCCTCTATGGCACCTCTAGGTCCCTTGTGGCCCTCTATGGCACCTCTAGGTCCCCTGTGGCCCTCTATGGCACCTCTAGGTCCCCTGTGGCCCTCTATGGCACCTCTAGGTCCCCTGTGGCCCTATATGGCACCTCTAGGTCCCCTGTGGCCCTATATGGCACCTCTAGGTCCCTGTGCCCTCTATGGCACCTCTAGGTCCCTGTGCCCTCTATGGCACCTCTAGGTCCCTGTGGCCCTCTATGGTACCTCTAGGGTCCTGTGGCCCTCTATGGTACCTCTAGGGTCCTGTGGCCCTCTATGGTACCTCTAGGGTCCTGTGGCCCTCTATGGCACCTCTAGGACCCTGTGGCCCTCTATGG